TTAGGCTCCGCTTTTCCGCCAGCCCCAGATCCCAGCAGGGCCGCCACCGCGACACATCACCCCCTCGCGAGCTCTTCACCTGCCCGTTGGCCAAATCCAGGCCATGTTACCCCAAAAGTGACTGCGACCCCACGGTGCTGCTAGGGACGGAGGAGGCCTCGCGCGTGACGCTCGAGTCGGGCTCCTCGTCCCTCTGCCCTTGGGAGATCGGGCTCGTCTCCCTCTCGGCGGCTCTCCCCGCGTCCCTCCGCTCTGCCACCAACCCCCTGCAACCCCCGGTTTTGGGGACGATTTTTTGCTACCGTACAGAGCTCCTCATCCTCCTCCTTCACCTTTTCCCCTGCCCTCTGATGGAAACTGCCTCCGATGCCAACGGGTTCCCCCACCCTCTCCATCTCCATCCCGCGCAGCGGGACAGACAGACACCACCGAGACACAGGCAGGAGCAGGAGCTGGTTTTATTGACACCTCTGGAGCGTTACAGAGCAGAGGGGAGGGAGGTGGCAGTGGCCCTGGCGGGAGCCTCCTCCCGACACAGTACAAAAAAGTGCTAGAAAACGCGTAAGATTCACAGTAAAATACGAGCAGGGAGCGAGGCGGGAGGTGGCCACCACCGGCCTTGGTCCGTGTTTGGTCTCTTCCCAACATTGCACCATTCAGGAGCTCTGCGGCAAACCTGCCCCGGAGCAGGGCAGGTTGCTTGTAGAAAGGAAACGTCCCAGCCCTTTCCTCCGTCGGTATCGGCAGCTTGGCAAACCCCAGCAAGGAAAGAGCTCTCAAAAGTGGACGCTAAAATTCAGCGCTTTTTTAAACCTTAAAAATACACATCTGGCTTTTTTTCTTAAATATATACTCTATAAAATAAGGCAACTCAGGGGGACGGAAAGGATGTCCCGGGAGATTAGACCCCACACCAGACGGCAGCGCAAGACCTGCAGTTTGGAGAAGCCAAGCACGGCATCCTGCCCCAAAACGGCCGCGCGCCGGAGCGGGAGCCGTGTTTGCAGAAGCGCTCGGGGGCCTCGGTGCTCCGATTGGAGCAAGTTTGGGGGCAAGAAGCAGGGAAGGGTCCCCCGTGCCGAAATGGGCTGTGGACACAGGAGGGCGGAGAGCACCTCACCTGCACCAGGGATATGGAACCACCGGCTTTCTCCACCAGAGAAACTACTACTCTTTGGGAGAAACTACTATAGCACGGCCATATCCCATTAAGTATTAAAAGCTATAGACAATCAAGCACAAATGAGTGCATCTCTTCTCCAACGCAGAGCCTGCTAGTCATCACTTTGTCAAGACTAGACCACGTAGCAGCTTTTTATAACAGCTTTTCCATCTCTCTCATGGAAAAAAAAATCATAAATATAAATCTAATCTCCAGTATTTTCCCTCCTCTATGCATATTAACACTGGGAATCTGATCTCCACATTCCAAGCTTTGTAGTGTAAATGTTTTCTGTGTTGCTCACCAGTTCCCACTGGGCTAAGCCTTGCGCTCTAGAGCTTTATTTCTCTGAGAAATTTTATAGAAAATATCTAATAGAAAATAACTTAAAAAACAAGTCGTATAGAGCAATCTGTGGTAAACGGTACTGCGGAGCAGTGGAATGGCACGTGGCGAACTCACACGGAGACCGTGGGCAGGGAAATCACAGGGAATCACGACACACACCATAAACCTGCTATAGCCACTGCCTAGGATTGCCTCGTTGGTCAGTGTACCCGGATCACGTGCAGAAATACTTTATAGCCTGAAATGAAAAACACTTATTCTGGCACACTGGACCTTTGAAGGAAAGTCTCTGCATCCCTGTAGTGGCTATACTGATTTGCACAGCTGTTATCCTGTACACCCAGGGAAGTTACTCGAGACACTGTAGGATTTGAGCCCAGCCCCAGCGCTGTGTTGAGACACCACATCCTCGGCTGCGTCCGTTCTTGGTCCTTTGCACAAAACGACTAGTTTTCCTCTTCGGCGTGAACCGGCGGGATCTTGTTGCAAAGCAGAGCGTAAACGTATGGCCAGATTTTGTTGGTCTCTGTTCCCGAAAATGAGTGAAGGACACCTCTGCTCCTGGAGAGGAGTGGAGAGGTGTCAGGGGCAGCCGCGTTTGCCCATGGCCATAAACCGCTTGGGGTGAGCAGCTCCCACCGGACCCATCGTGCAGCCTGCGCTGGGCCCCAGACTCCAGCTTAAAGCAGGGGGAAATCAGGGCCCCAGCTCCTACCCTCCCCATGAGGGACACTCGGGACCTTCTCGCCCCACAGAGACATTTGTCTCTTGCAGAACAAGATCCATCCCGGCCAGCTCTGAGGTCTACCAGGAGCAACGCACGGTTCAGAAGCTGCAGCAGGTAAACTTTTAATGCTACTTTAACTGGCAATTACGGAGGTGCTTTGGGTAGGGGATATGGCTCATTTGAGGGCAGGCGGCGAGGGGAACCTCTGTCCTCCTCCTTCCCCGCTCACCGGGGAGCTCCCGTCTCGCGCGGGGGCGACTCACCTGTACAGCTCCATCACCGGCTTCGCCGCCTCCTTGTACGTCCTGAGGCGGGCGGCCACGGCGCCGGGCCGGTCGTCGTCGCGCTGCACCAGCGGCTCGCCCGTGACGTCGTCGCGGCCCTGCGCA